GACCGAAGAGGAAGCAGGCTCAGAAAGGGGCAGAGTCAGGCAACAGCAGATCAGGACCAGGGAGGGCGCAGCCCTATGACCCCCGCCCAGCACGATCCTACCTCTTTGTCCCCTGGGCCCTGCCCACTCCTTGCCCAAGGCCCAGATGGGTTCTTTGCCCAGTTCCCTCACCCACACTCACCCCCCGGCTCCCGCTGCTTTCCCTTTTCCTGCCTGCCCTGCCCTCCATGCCAGGCCGGTGGCCAGGCCCTGACTGACTCCCTTCTCTTCCCACAGTGCCCGAGGCTCCTGTCATAGACACCCAGCGCACCTTTGCCTACGATCAGATCTTCCTGTGCTGGCGGCTGCCCCCGCACTCGCCACCCGCCTGGCACTACACCGTTGAGTTCCGGCGCACAGATGTGCCTGCCCAGCAGGGCCCCACACGCTGGCAGCGGCGGGAGGAGGTAAGGGGCACCAGCGCCCTTCTTGAGAACCCCGACACAGGCTCTGTGTATGTGCTGCGTGTCCGAGGCTGCAACAAGGCGGGCTACGGCGAGTACAGCGAGGACGTGCACCTGCACACGCCCCCAGCACCCGGTGAGCCCCAGGCATGGGCGCGGTGGGCACGGGGCTGGGGGCTGGGCGTGGTGCTCAGCGGGCTCCAGGGGGGCCCTGGAGAGGGTTCATGCTGTGGGCCACACACCCTCAGCCCGGAGCTGGACAGCCCTGGTCCCTGCCCCAGCTCTGCCCCCTGCCAGCTGCTTGCCCTGGCCACATTTTACACCTTCAGAGTCCTCTAATAATAGTCATATGGTTACCAGGAGAGTTAAACTGTTGTGGGATAATACGTGCAAAGACAGCGGTTTCCAGCTCATAGTAAGGGCTCAAGAGATGTTAGCAAATAGCCGGGCGGGAGGTGCACACCTGTAATCTCAACTACTTAGGGGGCTGAGGCAGGAGTGTGGCAAGTTCCAGGCCAGCCTGGCCAACCCAGCAAGAGCCTGTCTCCATATACAGAAAGAGTAAGTGGGCCGGGGATATAGCTCAGCGGTTCCACTGCCTGCCTCACAAGCGCAAGGTCTTGAGTTCGATCCCCAGCACCAAAAAAAGAAAGAAAGAAAGAGTAAGCTGAGCATGGTGGTCACATCGGTGATGCAAAGCATTCTGGGGGCTGAGGCAGGAGGAGGGTGACCGCAAGCCCAGCCTGAGCCACTGAATGGCTTCCCAAGACCCTGTCTCAAAATGAAAAAGTTTTAGAAAGGTCTAGGGATGTAGCTCAGAGAAAAGGCCCCAGCACCACATAGTAACAATAGCAATGACAGCAATAATGATAATAATTGCTGGGCATGATGGTGCACGCCTGTAATCCCAGCACTAGGAAGGCTGAGGCAGGAGGATCGCTGGGAGTTCAAGACCAGCCTGGGCTACACAGTGAGTTCCGGAGCAGTCTGAACTCACAGTGAGACCCTGTCTCAAAAAACAAAAAAATAGTAATTATTATTATAAAAAGACAGGATATAAGTCAGTGTAATGTGCTTGGCTAGTACCTGTGAGGCCTTGGGTTCAATCTGTAAAGAAGGAAAAAAAAAAAGCAAAATGGCTGTAGGAAATAGTTCATAGCCTGAGGCTGAGGGCAGGAGGGGTTGGGTTGGATGCAGGGCCAGGCCGGCCGTGGCAGGTGTCCCCAGGTACAGTGGGGCCTCGGGAGCCATGGTCTGTGGTTTCTGTGGTGTTGCCCACTAAACGTTCCCGGCCCCCACGCCTGTGCCCTCACTGCGGCTCCTGGCCCGTTCCTGGTAACCGACCTGCACGCTCACCTCCGTCCCTGGTGCCAGTGTTTGTCACTAGAGTCCGTCCTTCTGTCTCAACCCTCCTCCTCCTCCTTCTAGTCCTGCACTTCTTCCTCGATGGCCGCTGGGGTGCCAGCCGAGAGCGGCTGGCCATCAGCAAGGACCAGCGAGCCGTGCGGAGCGTCCCCGGGCTGCCCTTGCTGCTGGCTGCTGAGCGGCTGCTGACTGGCTGCCACCTGAGCGTGGACGTGGTCCTGGGTGATGTGGCTGTGACCCAGGGCCGCAGCTACTGGGCCTGCGCTGTAGACCCTGCCTCCTACTTGGTCAAGGTGGGCGTCGGGCTGGAGAGCAAGCTCCAGGAAAGCTTCCAGGGTGCCCCGGATGTGATCAGCCCCAGGTCTGGGCCCCCGGGAGGGTGGGGAGCTGGGCAGTGCTGCGGGTGGGGCAGGAATGGGGGACAGACTCGCTGCAGTGGGGTGGGGGAGGGGTGGGAAGGAGGAAGAGGCAGAAGCAGCGAGCCAGGCAGGGAGACCTGGGCCAGGAGAGCTGTCTGTGTGTTGGCAGAAGGGGCTTCGAGGGTGGGTTTCCAGGGGAGAGGGGAGAGGGATGGCAGAAGGGGAAGCCGCACCTCCTTCGTCTGTCCCTCAGGGCCGGAGCACCACCTTCCAAGCCCCTTGCCCTTCCTCCCTCATACCCTGTTCCCAACCTCCTTGCTCCACAGAATTTCTAAGATCTCCTTCACCCACCTCTTTTCCTAGAATTCTTCCTTCAAACATCGCAGCCCCCCTCACCCAACATCCTACTTAACAGCCTCCTACAAGGGCCTCTCTCCGTGAACACTTTCTCCCCAGCACTCTACCCCTAACACCGCACCTCTAACAAGCGCCTTCTCCCCAATTCCCTCTGAGGCCCTGTGTCCCCAATCCTGTGTCCCTCTAGCACCCCACATCAATCCGCCTCTGTCTGTCTCTGGTATCCCTTCCTGCGCCCGTCTCCTGTATCTTAATCATGAACCCCCATTCTTCCAGCATCCCCTGCCTCTCCAAACCATGCCCTCAGCAGGTTGGAGTTTCCCAAGAGCATTTCTCTTGATCTTGCTCAGTGCCACGTAACCTCGCTGAGCTGGTGGTGTCTTCCCTTCTCTACCCTACACCTTTGCCAATAGCTTTCCTTGAGGTGCCCTGTGCCCCTGCCCACGCCCAGCCCTGCACTGACACCTGCCTCCTCAGCACTCTTCTCCTGATGCTTCGTGCTCCCTAACACCCACCCCTCCAACCTCTCAGCCCCCAGCCCCCACTGCCCACTTCCTTACCCCTCCCCAACATCTACCCACCACCGCTCCTGCAGGTACGACCCGGACAGTGGGCACGACAGCGGTGCTGAGGACGCCACGGTGGAGGCGTCGCCACCCTTCGCTTTCCTCACCATCGGCATGGGCAAGATCCTGCTGGGCTCTGGAGCGAACGCAAATGCTGGGCTGACAGGGAGGGATGGCCCAGCGGCCAGCTGCACAGTGCCCCTGCCACCCCGCCTGGGCATCTGCCTGGACTATGAGCAGGGCCGGGTTTCCTTCCTGGATGCCGTGTCCTTCCGTGGGCTCCTGGAGTGCCCCCTGGACTGCTCGGGGCCTGTGTGCCCTGCCTTCTGCTTCATTGGGGGAGGTGCAGTGCAGCTCCAGGAGCCGGTGGGCACCAAGCCTGAGAGGAAAGTTACCATTGGGGGCTTCGCCAAATTGGACTGATCCTGTCAGATGCCTCGTCCAGCCGTGGGCTGGCTGGGCCCTGCCTCCCCAAGCCTCCTGGCACCAGGTTGCTCCTGAGCAGCTTCTCCCACCCCTCCCTCCATGTGGCCCTGCCCCGCACCCTCTGTCTGTGCCTTCCCAGGGCTTCCTCTGCTGTTCCCTCGGGGGCTCTCCTCTGCTCGTCTTTCTGAATGTGCCAGGCCTCTGCCCCACGCCCTGCCCTTGGCATCTTACCCAGATCATGGAGAGACCCCCTTCCCACCCCATCCTGTGCCCCAAGGCTGACTGGGAGGGAGGGCACCTCCGACACTGGGCATGATCCTCAGTCTGCCTTTTGCCTTGCCAAGCTCTCTGACCCATCGGCACTGAGCTGCAGCCTGGGGGCGATAGGCTTTGGCCTCCACAGAGAGGGAGGAGGGACCTGATCATCCTGCTTTATTTATTTGGGTCCACACATCCCTAGCTGCATGTCCCCATGTTCCTCTCCTCCTCTTGCATGCTTTACCTGTCCTGCACCCATGCCAAAGTACCAAGTCTCCCTGCGGGACCGAGCTGAGGCTGGGTGTCCCTCTGGGTTGGGCCAGACAAGGCCTCTGGTGCCGCTGCTGCCTCCCTGTGGTGGGCACTGCTAGGCCTGTGCAGAGCAACAGCTGTACTTTTCATGATTTATAAACAATAAACTGTGACGCCAGGCACATTTTTGCCTTCCCTGAATGTGACTGACTGTTCCTCCAGACTTCTGTGCTGGCGGGGGAGCAGAGGCTTTCAGGGTGCCAGGAGGATGTGGTGCCTAAGAGGACTCCTCCAGCCGGGTGCCCAACTCCAGCCACACCCGAATCAAGCCTAGGCTTTGCACCCTCTTGCCGCCAGGGGGCGCAGCAGTCACTGCTGGTACCAGGCCCTGGGGGATTGTGATTGAGGGGGCCAGGCACCGTGCCCGGGCCCAAAGGGGTCAAGGAACCAGAACCACTTCCCCATTCCCAGGGTGCCAGGGAGCCCACCCCAGAGGCAGCAGGCAGGTGGGGCCGCCAGGGGGCAGGGAGGGGACAGGACCTGGTGCCAACACCCGGATATGTTCCAGCCCCTGCTTATCACTACCTGTGTTGACTCTGCCGCTGTTATCATTGCCCAAGGATTTACTTCACACCCGGGCAGCTAAGAATAGAGCTGCATGGTGGCACAGTGCCAGCGAGAGAGGGGGCACAGGCCAGCAGTGAAACTCAGGCCCAGGAGAAGGGCCAGTCATGCCACAGGGGAGCTGGCCTGGGTTTCGCTTCTTTCCTCTCACGCCACAGGAACGGGGAAAGAAGTGACTCCCGACTTCCTCCACAGGTCATCGACCTCCCCACGTGGTCTGCTTCTCAAACACAGCTCCTCCAGCCCTTGTCCCTCCAGTGTCTTCTCCCAACGCCCCTCCCAGGCCTCTCTGCCATGCTTTCTGACCGCCCTTCTGGCCATGGTCACAGATGAAGGATCACAAGTGGGCACAGGGGACACATTTTATTGGGTCGTGTTTGGGTTCCCACACTCCAGGCTCCTTGGACCAGTCCTCCCGGAAGGGCCAACTTCCTGCTGCCCCGCTGCCCCAGGCATTTTCCCCAGGGCAGGGCTGGGCTTCACCAGGATGAGGTGGGCAGGAGGCTTGGCAGAGCCTCTGAGAAAAGCTGTGAGCAGCCCACCTGAGCTCCCAGATCACCAGCCCAGACCTGCGGACGGGGCTCTGGCAGTGAAGACCTGAGACTGGCACTTCTGCCCACCGCCAAGCAGGTGACCAGCTCCTACAAGTTGGCAGAAGTGGCTGCCACTGCCGGGTTGGTATAAGAGAGGCTGCCACCGCCATTTCCTGTAGAAACCTGGGTGGGGGGAAAAGGGACTGGGGATATGGGGCAGAAACCACCTCCAGGGTTCCTGGATGCTACCCAGGCTAAGGTGAGGGATCTGGGGCCCAGCCCGCTCTCACGGGGTTAACTGGGAAAGAGCACCTGCTGGCCCCACCAGCAGCCAGGTGACTATAAACAGCTGCTCCCCTCCTCTTTTGCCCTTGGGGACACTCAAGCTCCCCTGCCTGCTCTTCTGCCCCTCTCTGCCTCCATTCCCTGCCCCTCTGGTCCAGGGTGTGTGTGGGTGTGCGTGTGCGTGGGTGTAAAGGAGAGGCCAATCCCCAGGAGGGGGAAAATGGGGCAAGAAAAGGAAATTTCTCTCCTCCCCCACCCAGGCTGCTCTCAAGTCCTAGGTGGCTGCAGTAATTATTTACCAGGCCCTGCAGAGGTCAGGAGAGGAAAGAGGGAGGGGTCCCCTTGCTCCCTGGCTCAGCAACTTCCTCTGCCTGGGGAAAGCCCCCAGTTTCCCTGCCTGCACTCACCCCTTGAGACTCCTGTGGAAAGGGCTCCCGGGCACAGCGCCCCACCCGTTTCTCCTCAGGGCATCCTACTGAGCACCGCCCTGTAAAATCGGAGGGGCCCAGGCTGCCTGGTGTGACAACACTAGTGCTGAGTGTTGGCTGTGAGTCCTGGTCCGTCCGCCATCCCCCTCACCGCCTGGCCAGAACCCCTTCCTCCACCTCCATCCCGGCCCAGCGCTCCACAGCTCACCCCTCCAAGCTCCTTGGCTCCCAAGTGCCCCTCCCCACACCACCTGCCTGACCAGAGCCTCTACCGTGGGCCCAGCCTCACCTCCTCATATGGGCTGCGTCTGGTGCTGCCGGGGGGCACGTAGCGCCCATGTGTGTGGTAGGTGGGGTATTCGCTCATGGGGTGGTAGGTGTCCCGGGTCGGAAAGATGTCCAGGTGCCCATAGCTCTTCCGGCGGCACTGAAACACAGCCTAGGAGTACACGAGGTTACAGTGGTCGGGGTCCTGGCCTCCTGGCCCCCAAGGACTCGGGTGAAGGCCTGGACCTGAGCACTTACCAGGGTGACGTAGTAGATCATGGCCAGCAGGACCAGAACGCAGACCAGCACCAGCAGGGCGATGCCCCAGCCTGGCACCCCGGACTGGGCAGTGGAAGAAGGAACCTGCACCTCACTCACTAAAAGGAAAAGCAGTGGTCAGGGCCATCGCCCCCCACTAACACCAACGCAAAGAGGGGAACCGGCGCCGGAGGAAAGGGGTGCTGCCTGGTGCTGGGCTGCAGCCAGGGACAGAGCTCACCCCTGACTTGTGAAATGTCCAGATAGTATCTTTTGGCTTCCGCTATACTCCCCATGAGTTGTGAGCTCACGCTCTGGTCACTGGCAGTGCCCTTCCGGAACAGCAGCACTGACTCCACCGCCACAGACCCTGGCCTGGTCACAGGGAACAGCCACTCAGGACAGGTGCCAGCCTCTGCCGCAACCTCTCCCCAGCCATGGACGCACTCTCCCTCCCCACCACCGGGACAGCACCCACAGTCCTACCCAAGCCATACCTAAACTTGATACTCAAGAGGCCCAGAAAATCCTGTCCATAGATCTGCAAAAACTGGGGTGAGAGGGAAAGGACTCAGCTTTGGCGCAAAGGATTGAAGCAGTCGTGAAGGCTGCTTTAGAGCACAGCAAAGGCAGATACCCACCAGCGCAGAAATGTTCTTCTCCAGCCCTTGATAGTAGTGGGTGCTGGGATCTTCCAGAGAAGAATTAAACTGAAGGTTCAAAATCTCAAAAGACAGCGTGAAGAGAGAGACCATACCAGACAGCTGAGGAGGACTGGAGGGAGGAGAGGGAGGCGCCGTGTCATGGTCAGTGCTACCAGTGGTCGTCCCGCTGCCGGGGCCGGCAAGCGGGGTGGAAGTAGGAGACTGGTAGCTGGGCAATGAGGACTGAGACTCCTTGCTGACTGGGGTTGTGGTGGCCACAGCAGAGGAGCCACTGTGAGCTGGAGTGGTGGCTAGGCCTGAGGCAGAGTTGGTGGCTGGGGCTGAGGTCCCCTCGTGGACTGAGGTAGTGGCTGAGGCAGATATAGAGCTGGTGGTGGCCAGTGCTGTGGAGCTACTGTGGACTGTAGGGGTGCCCGTGCCTGACGCAGAGCTGGTGACTGGCGCTGAAGTCCTCTCGTGGACTGTAGACGTGGCCACTTCTGCAGAACTGGTGGCCGGGACTGAGGTGCCGGTGTGGACAGTAGAGGTGGCCGCTTCTGTAGAGCTGGTGGTGGCCGGGGCTGAGGTGCCGGTGTGGACAGTAGAGGTGGCCGCTTCTGTAGAGCTGGTGGCTGGGGCTGAGAGGCTGTGGCGGACCTTAGTGGTGTCTAACCCTGACGCAGAGCTGGTAGCTGGGGCTGAGGTGCCGGTGTGGACTGTAAAGGTGGTAGCAGCCCCAGTGGCTGTAGTGAAGGTGACACTGTAGCCTGTGGTGGCAGCTGAGGCTGGTGTGGTGAGGCTGCTCTGAGATAAGGTGACGCCATTCTTCTGGCCTGTAAGGGCAGCAGAGCCTTAACCAGGACTGAGGGTGGGGAATGAACTGCTAGTCATGCTCACAGCGCTGCTCTCAGGGGCTGGGCACTGGGCTGCTTTGGATAGGCAAGTTTCTGTTTTTCTCCTCCGACTAGGGCCAGAAGTTGGAAGAGCCATTGGGTTGGAGGGCAACTCAGAACCAGGAGAAAATGTCACCTCTGGCAACCAGAAAAGTAATATAGGAAGCCTGGGGAGTGGGCAGCAGAGCAGCCCTCTTCCTTCCCTTCCACAGCCACCTTCTCTCTTCACTCTGCCTCTGCCCCAGCAGTTACCTCACCCGGGTCCCTCCGCTAGGCTTCTTTGGGGGAACATTTGCCTCCCCTGCCATTCTCCTGGGGGCCACCCCTTCTCTGCCTGTCCTCACCCTCTCTCCATGCAGGCACAGTCTAGGCCACCACTGTTTACAACTTTCTGGAGGCGCCGTTTGCCAGGAAGCAAAATCCAAAGAAAGGCCAGGAAGAACCCCTCCCCACCTTGTGCCCCTCACCTGTAAGCACCAGCAGTAGAAGCAGCAAGAAAAAGGGGGCCTGTGTCCCCGGTGTCATAGCGCTGGTGAACTGGCCGGAGGGGGCAGAGCAGACTGCGCCGGCGCTGCGTGTGAGGTAGAGCAGCGCTGGTGCCTGCTGCTTTATACCGGTCCCCCTCCTGCCCTAGGCACAGCCGGAGCAGGTGACAGGTGACAACACCCGCCCCCTCCCCCTCCTCTACGTCCTTTTTCCTCCTCCTCCCCAGCCATTCCTGGGTAGGGTATGTGGGCTCCAAGTCAATCTTCTGACAACCTGTTTGCTCTCCAACTGGCCTCCTTTCATCAACCACTCCCTGACCCCAGAAGGGGTAAGTGAGTCTGAGGCTGCGGCCCCTGCCCTAGTTTTGGCCCCAGAACAACAGCTAAGGTGAAGACAGAGCAGAGAGAGCGGGCTGCGCAGGGAGCCCACCCTAGATGCACTGCACCCCTACTCCTGCTCTCCTGGGTCCTCTGAGCCCCGCCCCCGGGCTGCGACGGAGTAAGAGGGCTCGGCAGCGAGTGCGTGAGCGCGCGGTGCAGACCCTGACTTCCTCCCCCACTTCCCCGAATCGCCCCACCTTGTAACCGCTCCCCGCCCCTTCCACCGCAGCTCTACCCTGAAACCCGCAGTCCCCGCCCCGGCCGGACTTTCCGGCAACCTAGGCGCCTTTCTTGGCTTTCGCTCGAGAAGCGGGTGGAGGGAAACTTCCACCTAGAGGAGGACGAGACCTGGCCCAGCAAGCCCTGAGGCCCTTC